TCTATCTATCTATCTATCTATCTATCTATCTATCTATCTATCTATCTGTTTGTTTACTTATCTATTTATTTTGGTTTTTCGAGACAGGGTTTCGCTGTAGTTTTAGAGCCTGGCCTGGAACTAGCTCTTGTAGACCAGGATGGCCTCAAACTTACAGAGATCCTGCCTCTGCCTCCCGAGTGCTGGGATTAAAGGCGTGTGCCACCACCGCCTGGCTCCTTTCTGAGATTGTATCAACAACAACAAAAGTAAATCATGCTTCAAGCTGACATCTTGAAATCTTGAGGCAAATTTGGGTGTCATTTGGACAGTAAAGAGATACAATTCAGAATTTTCTGGTGTTCCAAAGTAGCTTAAGAAGTTCTCAAGACAGAGCAGTCCAGGGAAGGAAAGCAGCCAGCCTAGCAGAAGAGCATGGAGGGTTTCCCTTCTGCCAGCAAGGCTGTGCTCCTCAGGGCCTTGGGAGACAAGGAGTCTATCTGCAGCTGCAGACCAGCAGCTCAGGCAGCTCTGCTCCCATTCTCTGCCTACAGTATGGGGATACCCAGCTAAAGTGCAAATCCCCACTCCCCAGGTAAAACCCGAGATCTGTCATACGGCAATGCTTGTGACAGTCAGGGCTCTAAATGCTTCCCTCACATCTCTGAGGCCTTTCAGTAATGCGTGTCATGCACCGACACAAGGTCAAAGGCTACTACTGAGGGAGCATGCAGAACAGCTAACATCTAAGCTTCATGCTCCACAGCCTTGGCTTGCAAGTAGGCCCTAGCAGTACAAGCACAAAGGCACCTACAGCATATGCAACTGCACAGACTTGCCTGCAGGACTTCTTTCTGCAAATCCTCGCCAAGCCCACACGAATCTAGCAGGTCTGAGGAGGGTCAGGGTAATCTGAAATTGCTCTGGTGACTGCTCTGGCATAATGGTCAAGAGGCCACCCGCTCCTTACCTATAGACTCAAAGTATCACTTTTTCTGCCAGGACCAAAATCAATGCTCTGGAAGCTGGATATGCAAGTGCTTCTCAGAGCAGCCTATTTCCACTCAAAGATACAAGAACTAACTAAACTGAAGGCTCCAGCCCTACACATCCATGAAGCTGGCAGAGTTGCCCACCAGTGTGAGGCTCCTACACACCTGGACAGCCAGATGAGAAATGAGCTTTCAATGAGGAGAAGTTTTCCTGGCTGATGATTCATTCCAAAGATGAAACCAAGCTCTCAGAATCAGGATTATTAAATGACGACATCATTCTTCGTGTAAATCCAATATGGCCTCTTGACAGCCCAAACACAACCCCTGCCCGCTGCTGGACCATTTCCCTTGTGCTGACAGTACACAAACACTGACTCATTACAGCTTATTTTTAATAAACAAGTCCCACTGTGCCAGTTCTAGCAGCTAAAGGTTTCCCTAAGGGCAGTTTCCTAGGACAAGTCAATCTTCTATTTACAGCAAATTACTTCTTGTTGTCTTTCCCCTGAATTCACATGTAAACACATGTATACGTTCTGGGTTTGACCTAGCTGGGGAAAAGGGAGGGGATGTCGAGTCCTGCCTCTTAGGAATGGATACTGCAGGGTATGCAAAAGGCATCCATCGGTAGCTGCAGGAGCGCAGGGCACTGTTATCTGTTTACTCTTGTACAGGCCCAGTCTGTGGGGTGGGGCGGGAGAATTGCTCTCCATGGCAAACACTGGGCTTCTAGAAATGTTTTTACTTAATTTGGTTTTCAGTCTCTGTACCCCGTGACCGCAGTCAGAACGTGACTAGCAGCAGACTCAGCAAACGACAAGGACAATGTATACAGCCTTCGACTACCTGTCTGAAGGTACAGATCTCCATTGGTCCTGATGATCCAGGCTGTGTCATCACTCAGGGCCACAAACACAGCCTGGGGCAGAGCCTCATACCAGTGCCGCTTTCCCTTGATGGTCACTTTGCCACAAGCAAAAGCACGGTTAGATTTCTGTTCAATCTTCCAGAGAAGGGCCCCTAGGAGAAAAAAAAAATTACTCACTGCTCAACAAACATGAGATCACCTACACAAAAACTCCATTCTGGGCACTGCAAGGGACAGTTTCCAACTCAGAGTAGAGCCCACCATGCCAGAGTCTGAAACCATCAGCTGCCTGTTGTTGGACATCATTGTAAATGTGTCCAATCCTCATTTTTCTCAATAGAAAAATGGAGTCATTTCTACCTTCTGGGACTGACCTAAAGGTTAGATGTGAGAAGAAATCCAGCACAGAGCACAGAGCTGAACAGAGGCAGTCACTGGGGAGAAAAGTGACAGTACTGTAGGTTTGACCAGTTAAGTGAGGCACAACTAGCAGAACTGTATTTTTCCAAGACAAGGTTTTTCAGTGTGTCAGATCTGGCTGTTCTGAAACTTACTTAGTAGCCCAGGCTGGCCTTGAATTCATGGCTTGCCTCCTGAGTGCTGGGATTAAAGGTGTGTACCATGAGCCGGCCTGGCCAAAGAGCTATACTCTAAAAAGTCTCCTTGGGTTCACTAAAATGCCAAAGAATGGCATGAAAATCTGAGGACTTTCCCGACTGCAGTCAGGGAAAAAATTTCTGAAAAAGAAATCAGATGACTGGAACACATCCAGCACACATCCACAGGCCTGTCTTCACTAGTTCAGTTGCTTTATAGCAACACTGACAAACAGAAATACATGTTATTTTTATGAGGATTTAGTGTGCCAACATGACTAAAAAAAACACCTCAATATTCAAATTATCTGTATAGCTTACAAAAATATGTTCATGTGTTATCACTGCAATTAATGAAATAAAAAATTTCATCAATTGAAATTAATGAATTCAAAAATTCAAGCAAGTATGCTGAATACTCATTACCCTATGTCAGTGTCAAAGGAAGTAATCATGATCTTTACAGAACCCACCTAAGCTGGCACGAAGGGCCATCTGATGACAGCATGCTTTTGCCAGAGGAGAGCTGCCTGTGAGCTGGGAGCCCGGTTGGGGGTTGGGAAATGGGAGCTGGGAGACGAACCTGAGGGAGAGACTGCCACCTGCTGGACAGCATCTTCAAACCTTTGCCAGCGCAGCCCTGCACCAGGCAGGGCACTGCAGAATAGGCCACCTTTGTAGTCCAGACACCAGATAAACTTTTCCGAGACCGCCAAGCTGAGGATGCCATAGCCAGGTCCCGAGTAGCCCATCCAGCTCTCTGCAAACTAACAAAGATAGAGGCCAGTGAGTTCTGTGACAAGAGACACAGTGTCATCATACTATTACCAACAAGAAATGTGGGCAGACTGTTAAAGAAAGGCTCTTTGAGAAGCCTTGCCTCCCCTGCTCTCCTTGGATCCAACCTCAGAAAACATTCTTGCATCAGATGCTGTGGTTCTCATGGAAGACCCCATAACATCCCTGGATAACACTTTCTCATGGCATAGCACCCTTCCCAAGTAATGCTTGTAATGCTTGTATCCTCCAACCACTTCACAGAACAAAACACTGTCATCTAGTAAGTCCATAATCAGAAACCATACAACTGAGTTACCCAGTCCCACAAAAAAAAAAAAAACAAAAAAACAACAACCCACTCAATGTTTTAAGTAAGTTTATGGGCTGTGCTCATAGCTCTCTTGGTACACATGCTCCACATAGGCTACAGGCTGCATGTGCTGGTAGAGAATGACATCACACCACAAGAGATCTGGCTTTAGTCTATGCATACCTTACTTTACACAGGGGGCGTGTTCATCAACACACATATGAAAATCAACTTTCTGTGCATTTAATTATGACAGATGCACTATGGAAACAGCACTACCACTGTCCTCATTAGTTTTTCAAACATTGTTCTAACCTTTGGACACCTGGCGTGTTGTATGGGAACAGTTGGGGGAAGTGTGGAAGAGACACTGCCTGAATTTTGTACACTAAGGTTTTGTTGCTATATTTTTCTCATTTGTATGACAAAATGTAATGTAATTATGTATGTGCACTCATGAGTGTGCTATAGCATATGTGTGGCCATCAGAAGACAACTTGTGAACTGGTTCTCTCTTTCCATCACAAGGGTCCTAAACACGGAGCTCAGGTTATCAGGCATTAGCTTTTACCCATGACCTGTCATGCTGGCCCCATGTTGTTAGGGATCTGTTCAAAAGTCAAAGCTATTCTATGTAGTTGCACAAACACCTGCTACGGAAGCTAGTGCATGAAAGAGAATGGTGTCCACTTCTTTTCCACCACAGCAAATTTTCTGCTCCTAGCCCTGGTCCTCCCCCTCCCCCCCAAAAAAAACAACAAGCAACATTTCTAACCTTTTCTGCTATTTGGAGCAAGAACAGGTTTGGCAAACTTGGAAGGTAACTTCAGAGATCCAGGATCATTCTCCACAAGTGAAGGCTTTCCTAAGCTTCCAAGTAGTCCTAACATACACCAACAGTTATGATCTGTCAGCTAATACTCTATATCAGGTGACCACCTGCTGGGGCCTCCCACAGCTCACATTTGGTTCAAGTCCCATTCACCTGATCCTCTGAACATGGGCCTGGCTAGCTGTCACTTGCACTGAGCTCCCAGCAAGAACACATGCACGGCCATTTAGGGGCACTTAGGAAGCGATGCACTGAGAAGATGAATGCAGGATCAGAACAAGCAGTCCAACTTCTGGCCCATTCACTTTTGAGACACAACACAAAGAATGGGAGAGAATCCTGGGCCACTCCGCATGTCACTTATAATGTGACCTGGTGCATACATCACTTTACTTTTCTTAGCTTCAATTTCATTCTCCATAAACTGGGGACAACTGCACCTGTGTCCCAGTTTGTTTTGCTCTTAAAGTGACTTAGTGCTCAGCACTGACCTGTGTGTAGTGAGAACTGATACACAGCACATGCTCTTAGCTGTGAAGGCAGAGAATGTGGTGACGCAGTAGAAGCAGTTAGTTCTGAAGACAAATACATTTGCTAACATTTACATGATAAAGAAAATAAGTACCTGAAATCATTTTTAGGGCTGGGTATGGTGGTGCAAGACTTTAACCCAAGCACTTGGGAGACAAAGGCAGGTGGATCTCTGAGTTCAAGGCCAGCCTGGTCTATATAGTGAGTTCCAGGACAGCCAGGGCTATGTAGCGAGACCCTGTTTTTTTGATTTTTTTAAAAATAATTTTTAATATAAAAGTACTAAGAACAATAAATTACACTGGCTGAGAAGCCCCATAGCAGATTAGGGTTTTCATTCTGCAGGGTGTCCCAGGGGCACTATGCAGATGCTGAGGAAACAGCATTTCTGGGAAGGGCCCCAATTCATACTCATGTTTCAAGGAGTCAATGGACTGTGGAGAAGGGCAGGAACTACCCACCTTATATGTGCTCAGAGCAAACAGTCCTCTGCCCAGTGGTATTCCAATGTCCCAGGCTAACTTAAGTGCCCAAACTGGTCTGACCTTGCAAGACACCACTTTTGTCAGTAAGAGGTCAACTGAGCAGGGTCAGAATTACTACAGTTCCAACTATTCAGGACCCCTGCAAAGGAAATTGCCCCAAACACAGACTTCAAAGCTGCAAGTTTTGCAAGAGTATGATTTCCCTAAGAAGGAAAATAAATGAGCCAAGAATGCCCCTTAAAGGAAAAGAAGAAGCTGCCGCAGCTGCCACCTTAGCCATGCTTCCTCCATCAGCACACAGACCTGATCTGTCTTGAGCAGAGTGGTGTCATCAGTCCCTGGTTGGCTCAGGTCCTGCAAAGAGCGACCAGCTCCAAGGTCTGTCACACTTGTCTCTGAGAATGAAGATGGGAGTCCATGGGCATAAATGTCTTCCTCATCACTGGATGTCACTGCCTGGTCCTGGAAAGATTTGTCCAGCCAATGCTCATGGGCACTGGCCACGAAGGCAGAGACAAGAGGAGTCACCTGGCCTTCCACATTTCCTATGTCACATTCAGAGGTAGGTATTTCTTTGTGATTTTTATCATTATTGGTGACTACATGCCAAGGATTTGAGCTTGGGTGGCTAGGGCCCTCCACATGGGCCAGGATGTTTGGTTCTGGGCTGGCCTCCTCAGTGCTGACTTCATAAACTCCAAGCCCAGGCAGCCATTGCTCGGCGCCTGGGGGCCAGCTGAGGCTGGAAGGTACTGTAAGTGAGTCCAGAAAAGTGCTCTGGGGGTCACTGAACTCCACGGTGTTCACCTCCTGTGCCTCAGCAGAGCTGTCCTGTTTCCACAGGCATACCTCTGTATGTACTGCTACACCGTCAGCAGCACCAGGCTCCTCTTTGGGTCCTGAGATGATGTCATCACCTCCCCCATCCTCCCCTGGCTGAAAGGGTAAATTCAACACTCCATTGAGCAGGCCCATGTCCTGTGTGTGGTCACACTGGTAAGTTTCCTTTCCAGTACCGTTTTCTTCATCCACTGGGTCAGTGGCAGATTCAGGAACCTCCAGAACACTGAATGCTTCAGGGCCACTGTCTTCCTGAATGATCCCATTCACCTCAGCACTGGGGTTGCTCTCCTGGTCTGGAGATCCTGTGCTCAACTGATCCACACTACTTCCCAGAGCACTTGAGGTCATGGACAAGAGGTCTGTGTTCAAGGACTGGGGGCTGTCACCAGGGAACTCGGAGCAGGGAGTTGACTCGAGGGAACTTTGGCAGGTGCTCTTGGTTCCACCTTCTAATTTAAAATGAGAAAATTCAAAACAAAGCATGAATCCATGGAAATAACCAGAAGTACTGAGAAAACATTTGGCTCAAGAAAGAAATATTTTAAATGAAGGCTATTCTGTAAGGCATAAATTAATCTCTGTAGTCCCAGAATTTAGAAGTTAGAGATTGGAAGCTCAAGGGTCTGAAGCCAGTCTCAGCTACATAGTAAGTTCCAGGCTAGCCTCAATGACTTACAGAGACTACAGTCCCATAAAAAGAAGAGGAAGCCGGGCAGTAATCCCAACACTCGGGACGCAGAAGCAGGAGGATCTCTAAGCTGGAAGCCAGCCTGGTCTATAGAGCAAGTTTCAGGACAGGCTAGGCTTCAAAGAGAAACCCCGTCTTTGAGGGGGGGAAAAAAAAGTAGAAATGATCTCATATCAGAAATGCCCAGAAGCCTCCTGAGAGAAATGCTAGAAAAGTGGGGTAGGGATTAAGCACCATGTAACATAGGCCAATTTTTTAAAATTGTCAAAATGCGTTCAATAATGTTTTTCTTTCTTGAAAAGAGTTCAATAATGTTTTTCTTCAATAATGTAGTAACCTTTAGCTAAAAGGATCAATAGGCACCAAGGATTGAGTAACTCAAAAAGTTCTATGTGGCCAGTCAAGGTAGTGCACACCTTTGATCCCAGCACTTGGGAGCCAGAGGCAGCAAGATCTCTGTGAGTTCAAGGCTAACCTGGTCTATTCAGTAAGTTCTGCGACAACCAGGGCTACACAGAGAGATCCACCTTAAAAAAAAAAAGTTCTGTGTTAAATCCCATATGTGGTAAGATGTCAACACAAAATGTAAGGTGTCCAACAAATACACTAGCATAAATCCCTGTTTCAATGATTGTCCACATGTTTGTAGGGTCTCTGGTCTAATGAATCGTATATATGGATGTGGTAGTTTGAATGCAATTGGCCTCCATAATTTCATAGGGAGTGGCATTACTAGGAGGTGTGGCTTTGGTGGAGGAAGTATGCCACTGTTGGGGAGGGCTTTGAGGATTTCTATGCTCAGATCCTGCCCAGTGTCTCAATCTACTTCCTGTTGCCTGCATGCCGCCATGCTCTCCATCATGATGATAATGGACTGAACCTTTGAAACTGTAAGCAAGGCACACCAAGTAAATGTCTTTTTTATAAGAGTTGCCATGGTCATTGTGTCTCTTCACAGACATAAAAATCCTAAGACAGTGGATATTATCTTAAACATTAAAAAGAGCAAACTCCAGACCATTTAATCAGGGCCTGACCACATGGATAAATGCCCTACCAACACAAGTCCTACAGAGATGCCTATGTGTGTATGTGTGCACTGTCAATTTGTGGGGTGAGTGCTTTCAATGTGTAAAGTCCTCTGCTCCACCAAGAGCAGCAAGCACTCCTTTCGTGAGAACTATCATCCCTTCGTGGTAGTACCCAAAGGTCCAGGCCTAGGTGCTGCATGAGTCAGTGTGCACTTGTCCATGGACAGTACCTGTCTTTCTCTTCCTCCTCCTCTTCTTCACTTTGATGGGTTTCACAATAAGCTCCTGGTCAAAGTCTTCAGAGCTGATAACACTGAATCTCTGTGAGGATGGCGGGCCACCCTGGTCCAGCTCAGGGGGGGCCTGAAGTCCGGGCAACAGCAGCCCAGAGCCACTGTCCGTGGAGTTGAATGAACTGCTCCTGCTCCGCTGCTCACTGGCCACAGAACTGGCCACAGAAGAGCCTCGAAGCCTTGTCTCACAAACAGTGTCCCCAAGTGACTTTTCCAAATGCTGCCCACGGACCTGCTCTGAACATCGTGTCTCCAGACCATCTCTTGCTGAGAAAGAAGAGTTTAGCTTTACTGTGGTGCTTTCAGCGACACTGCTGTGCATCACTCAGTGTGCTAGCCTGAGCACCAGCACTCACAGGACAACCAAGATGTTCTCCTGATAAAAACTGAGCAACTGCAAATACCCCAACACAGAAGATGGCAAGGGGCCTTTGTGCTTCAGCAAGTTCATATATTAAAATCAGTAAAACAATGAACTGCAGTTGTCTTTTGTAAATATCACCAGTAACAGAACACCACTAAATATAAAGCACTTCTCATTTCCATTATACAAATTCTTTATCAATTTTTCTGTATCAAGAACAGTTAAATTAATTTCCTATTTATACTTTGCCTTTACTATACCGTAATACTTAAGAGGCATTAAAAATGCATGTGTCTTATAACCAAATTCCTTGAAATTCAAGGAAGAGAAGTGAAATTCCCACTAGAATGGGTTCACCATAGAGAAGAACATAGGAGGTCAGTGTCAATGCAAGCAGAAAGCAGGGTGACAAGGGTTCCTGTGATAAAGGGCCAGTTAATGTCCCACTGTAGTGGAGCCTCCCTTCCTTGAACCTAGCATTACTGAGGTCTCCAGGGATAGGATCTCCAATTTTAACACTGTCAACAAGAAACTGCTGTGCACTTCAACAAGTGCAGCCATCCTTTCACTACCAAGTATCTACTGGGTACCACATTCTGCACAAGTGCCATGTAACAGCAGTCAAAAAGACACATGAGCTTGGCAGTGGTGGCACACGCCTTTAATTCCAGCATTTGGGAGGCAGAGGCAGACAGATCTCAGTGAGTTCGAGGCCAGCCTGGTCTACAAAGCAAGTTCCAGGACAGCTAGTGCTGTTACACAGAGAAACCCTACAACAAAACCAAAACAAAACCAAAACAAACAAACAAACAAAGAAAAAAACACCCAAAACACAGGGGAAAACACCAATCCCAAAAGCCAGTCTGTGTCTAGGGCAAGAGATATATATCAGATTACAGATTACAAGTTTCATTGTTTTAAAATTACACAGATCTGTGTCTCAGAGACATTAAGTACACACAGGACCTCAGACAGGACACCTGGGGCCAGGAAAGTAGTTTTTCGTTTCTCTTTCCTACTCACTCAACCACACCTTCACATTTAATGGCCACTCCACCACAGCGAGACCGCCCAGTATCTATCTTAAAACATCCTTAACGTTTTCAGGATCCTAAGCCTTCAAATACTTCCATGTCTAAGCAAACCCCAAACTATCTTTCTTTCTTTTGTTGTTGTTGTTATTTGGTTTTGTTTTTCAATACAGAAATTTATCTGTGTAGCCTTGGCTGTCCTGGAACTTCCTCTGAAGAGCCAGCTGGCCTCACCTACTTCAGCCTCCCTGAATGCTGGGAATAAAGGTATTCAGCTGTTTTAAACTGCATTTATCTTACCACAAGCAGGACTTGTGGTAAGGACTCAGCACACACAGCATACTTGCAGTGAATACAAACCTATGGATGCCAGCCCTTCAGGCCTGCTTGAAATCCTTATAATGTTCCTATCTCCCTTTAGGAAAAAGATTTCATTTTCTGTGCAGGAAACAGACACAATATCACCCAGTCCTTCCAAACCAGCAATGGTGGCCTGTCAAAACAAACAAATATGAAACAATGCAATAAAAACAAAAACATAATCAGCAGGTGTGATAATCCAAATAACTGTAATTGTTGGATTTTATTATGGCAGATCCTGGAGAACTCTTAAAAGTAATTTAACCCACAGTTGGGTAGTATTTGATATCTGGGACTTAAGCCACATAACTTAGCGTTAAGGTGCCATTCTGGGGCCATTGAGGTGCACAGTTTCTCCCACCTCTCAGTCATTCTCTTCCTGGAGCTGCTGTTCTCAGCCTTCTTATGACACGAAGCTCACACTCCTTGTCAGGGCAGGAGATCTGGACATTCTGACCTGCCTGTCATCCCACCTATGTTGTGCCAAAGCCTAGCCTGGTCCTTGTGGCCTATGCACACAGCACAGGTTTTCTCCTGCTGAGCTTCCTTTCCTGATCACTGGGAAGCCTCAGCCTCAGTAAGTGCGGCTTGAGCACTGCCATCTTAGCAACAACTAAGATTCCTCAATGGTCGACAGCACAAACTTCTGCCATCATCTCTCTTGGACTGGCTAGTAGTGATACACCAGCCAACATGTGCTCCTACTGTGTTTTCTATGGGATACTACGAGCCTTGCAGCCCAAAGCTTTTAAGTGAAGGAAGGAAGGAAGGAAAAAGATGCCTGGCTAAAAGCAGATGGTACTGCACAGGACTTTCCTGAGTCCACACGAATCTAAACCAGTTCTTGATTTTCAGTTGACAGTATGCTTGAGAGATTAGTTCACTGCAGGAGACATTGAGCCTAGGCTAATTTTTAGGCAGCCTTGACAGTAAGCTGGATATAAGACACTAGGTTCCCAAAGCTGCCAATCATGGTGCTTCAGAGAGGGGCAGACTCTGATGGTGGAGGCAGTGTCTGTTCACAGACACAGTGTCTCCATTTCCCTGCATATGAAGTGAAGTTAATTATACCTGTGATGAGAGGCACAGGGGAAGTGTTCAGATGAAAAGAACTGATGCATAATTGCAACATGTCTTAAAGCCAATAATTAGGAAGTTCAACGGGAACCCAGGAGAAAAGTTAAGTCATCTATAATGGGAGAATTCAAATAAACAAGTGAAGGGTTAAAAGGTGACAACCCCTTATAGCGCCAAGTTACCTCTGCACCAAAAGTGTCATCAAGCACAGCTGGTAACTAGGGAGGCGTCAATGGGGGCAGGTGATTTTGATTCTCTGTGGATGCTCTCTCTAAAGACACTGTGCCACAGGCCCACAGAGCTCATGTGGAGGAAGAGAGCTTGGCCTGGATTCTGGAGGCGGAGTAGGGAGTGGGACAGGCCAGAAGCTCTGATCTGAGAACAAGAAGTAACTGAAACCAAACAACTTTATTTAAAGTCCTAAATGAGATTCTAGGAGTGACCTTTTATCACCCTGATTCAGGCATACCTTGTTTTCTACCGTGAGTTAATGATCCTGGGAAGTTGCTAAGATATGCCAGTAAGTTTATAAAAAGAAAAAGAAAAAGGCATAATAATATGGTTATCTTTGGATAAGAAGAAGCACAATAAAATAAGAAAAAAAACCAAACAAACAAAAACAGCAACAGGGGACGAGCACACTGGAGGGGAGGACCCTGCTCCTGGACAGGCACCACCTGTGTGTGAGGCCTGGGAGTCAATCCTCAGAGTTAATGTTTCTGTCATGTTTGAGTTGTCACATGACCTAGAAAGGCCTGGTGCACAGGAGTAATCCTAGGTACTTGGTAGGCTGAGTCAAGGCAATCAAGTTTAAGGTCTACCTGAACTACAGAAAGGGTTCAAGACAAGCCTGGGCAGCTTAATGAGTCCTGTCTCAAAATAAAAAGTAAAAAACAAAAACAAAACAGGGCTGATGATATAGCTCAGTGGTAGAGCATTTGACTAGCATTCATGAGGCCCTGAGTTCAACCCCACATACTGCAAAATGTCAAACTAAAACAAAACACACAACCTAGAAGTGAGGGGTGTAGCTAAGAGGCAGAGCATGTGCTTAACATGCGCAAATACCCTGAATTCAAAAACAACAACAAAAAAATGTATGCATGCATGAATACATACAGACAAGTATGAATGGATGGGAAGGATGGGTTCGTGAGAGGCTTGGCAGCAAAGGTGCTGACCATCAGGTCAGGTCATCAGATGACCTGAGTCCAATCCCTGGGACCCAATGTGGATGGAGAGAAACAACTCTACGAGTTGTCCTCTGACCTCCGCATAGGTGCAGGACACTCAAGTGTGATCACAAGTTTGCACATGTGTATGCATGCACACACACACACACACACACACACACACACCATACACAAATAAATACAATTAAAAAAAAAACCTAGAAAGGTTATAATGAACATTTTTAATTTGGGGCTTTAAAGACCTCCCCCAGAAACATCTAATTTCTTGGGAGAGTAGGACTATGGATGTCAAAAAGCAAATTATTTTTCAAATCTACAAAAATTACCAAGGTCCATTTGATTTCCTTGATTGTCACAAAAGAAAAGAAAAAACAAGCAAGCATCAGAGTTAATGCTGCACCTTTCCTCTTTCCAGGAGTCCAGCGGCTGAACACCCATGGACCTGCACCCTCCTCTTGCCCTGTGACCCCACAGCAGGTGCAGTTCTCCCACACACCTGGTTGACGGTGTCCAGAAGATAGATACTGTACTCATTCCAGCTCAACACCCAGCCTTCCCGGAAGAAGCATGAAACGAGCCCCAGGTGTTTCTCAGGAGAGCTGCAACTTCCCCCATCAGAGGGCTCCAGACGTGGGTAGAGCTCAAAAGGTGTGACTCCTCCAGCAAAGACATCCTTGAGGATAAACGTGGCTTGAACGGTCCCATGGACATCAGCCTTCCACAGCCGGAGCCCAGGCCGGGCTGCATACAGGGTTAGGTCACTTTGCTTACACAGTCCTGGTATAAAACAAGCACCAAATTTCCCAGTACTAAAATCGGAAGAAAAAAATGAAAGAAAGAAAACAAAAACAAAAACAAAACAGGCATGGACTGACTTGAAGAGATATAATTGTCAGCTCCTAATATCAGCTCTAAGAATCTGTAGACCAACACAAATCATTGTCCTGTCTACTGTGTGTCGGTCACTAAGTCTCCTGGCACCCTTGTGTCACCCAGGCCCCACCACACTGTCACAAGTACACAGCACCCGGAGCATACAGCCTAGATTCTGAGGACGATCAATGGTGCCCACCGCAGCTTGCCTGTGTCCCACACTTCCGTCCACTCTCCCTTTAATCCTTGCTGCAATTTCATGAGGGAACTGTTATATGTTACAGGCCGTCCCTGCTAACCCTGCTCTGCAATGCTGCTCCTTCTAACGCCTGAGCCTGTGGTCTGCCTAGTTTCTTGAATGAAAAGCTTTACATCTAGAGTAGATCATCTATATCTCTTTCAAAATTTCCCCAAAGCCATCAAGTGTACCAGTTTCTCTTCCCATTCTCAAGCTTGGTAGTCTTACAAAACTGTGAAATACCCAATCCACACAGAAGAGTATATGCGGAGCTGGAGAGACGGCCCAGTGGTAAAGCACACTGTTGCTTTTGTAGACGACTTGATTTGGTTCCCAGCACCCACATGGGGGCTCACAATCAGCTGTAACTCTAGTTCCAGGGGATCTGATGCCCATTTCTGACCTCCTCAGGTACCAGGCATGCATGTGCTGCATATACATATATGCAGGCAAAACACTCATACACATAAAATAATTTTTTAGTGTTTTGAAACAGGGTTTCTGTGTGTAACAGCCCTGGCTGTTCTGAAACTTGATCCGTAGACCAGACTGGCTTCAAACTCACAGAACTCTACCTTCCTCTGCCTCCCGAATACTGGAATTAAAGGTGTTCAACACCACACACAGCAATAAGTATTTTTAAAAAATTTCTGGGCAGTGGTGACACACTTCTTTAATCCCAGCACTCAAAAGGCAGAGGCAGGCAGATCTTTGTGTTCAAGGACAACCTAGTATACAAAACAAGTTCCAGGAGAGTCAGAACTATACAGAGAAATCCTGTTCCACAAAATTTTTAAATAAATAAATAAAATAAACAAATTTAACAACAACAACAAAAATTTAAAAGAGTATTTGTACTGGGCGGTGGTGGTGCACACTTTTAATCCCAGCACTAGGGAGGCAAAGACAGGTGGATCTCTGTGAGTTCGAGGCCCAGACTGGTCTACAGAGTAAGTTCCAGGACAGCCAGAGCTACACAGAGAAATCCAGTCTCTAAAACCAAGAAAACAAAATAGAGTGTTTACAATAAATGTCACGAAGCCTAATATAATGTGCACCAGGGACTCATCCTCTACCACTAGAACAAGTCAACAGTTGCATCATGCATGCACTTTGGGCTCCTAATAATTTGTCCTGGCCAAAATTCAGATCAATGGACTAAATTTTGTGTGTATCACTCTCATTTTTAGTTGTGAGCCTAGCCTTTAATGGCTGAGCCCTCACTCTCATTTGTATTGATACGTCGTCAAGCACATATTTATTTACCCCAACACCAATTTAGCACTTTCATTTTAATGAATGATGCCATCTGTATAATTTTGTAGCTTGACTTTTTAAAATATTTTTAATTTAGGGGATAATTTTTCTTTTCTTTTTTCTTTCTCTCTCTCTTTTTTGCCTCGAACTCAGAGATCCGCCTGCCTCTGCCTCCTGAGTGCAGGGATCAAAGGAGTGCGCCACCACTGCTCGGTCTTAGATTTATTTATTTATGAAGTACAGTGTTCTGCCTGCATGTATCCCTGAACGACAGAAGAGGGCACCAGGTTTCATTCTAGATGGTTGCGAGTCACCATATGGTTACTGGAAATTGAACTCAGGTCCTCTGGAAAAGCAGCCAGTGTTTGTAACCCTGAGATATCTCTCTAGTCCCCAGCATAATTTTTTAAAATTATGCATGTGTTTGCATGCATGCACATGAGAGCAAGTGCCAGTGGAAGCCAGAAGATGGCATAGGATTTCCTGGAACTAGAGTTAGAGGTGGTTGTGAGCCATGCAATGTGGATGATGGAAAAGGACCTCTTATCCTCAGTAAGAACAGCTATGTGCTCTAACTGTTGAAGGACTGCTCGGCTCTACACATAGATAAATACACAGAGTGCACATACATACCCCACTACTTGATAATTTTAAGTAACTTGTCTTTAATACTTACCATTGTTTCTAAGATTTAATCTTTGATTTAAAATAGGAAGCGACAGTGCTTATTAATTTTGACTGCCGAATAGTTTTTTTCACAATTTATTCAATTTTTTAAAATTATCCTTTTTTTGAGATAAGACTTCATTGTATGTCTCAGAGTGACCTCAAACTCAAAATTCTACTGTCTCACTTTCCGATTCTATAGCCACTACACCCGACTTTATATTATTTTTTTAAAAGTACATAAATATTGCTATAAAATGTTTCCTTGGGATACTGGAATATGCATGGGTTTGGGAAAGTATGCATATCTATAAATCTAATACTTAACTTATTTAGTTTTTATGGTACTGTGAATTGAACCATGGGCCTTGAACATGGTAGACAAGCACTCTACTACTCAATTACATGTGAAGTACTTTTTAAAAATAATTTATTCTGGGGCTAGAGAGATGTTTCAGTGGTTAACTTGTTGTTCTCATAGTGGACCTGAATTCAATGCCTAGCACCCCCACCAAGGCAGCTTAACAACCTATAACCAGAGGAACAATGCCCTCTTTGGCCTCCTCAGATATCTGTACTCACGTTAACACACATGTCTAACTAAAAACAACTAAATAAAACTTTCTCTCTCTCTCTCTCTCTCCCCTCTAGACAGGGTTTCGCTGTGTAACAGCTCAGCTGTCCTGAAGCTCACAGAGTGCTAGGATTAAAGATGTGCACTATTATGCCCAACTCTAAATAAAATCTTTAAAATTAAATAATTTATTCAATCTTACTACTGGATTGTTGCTGTTGTTAATTTGTTGGTTTTGAAACAGGATCTCAAGAAGCCAATGCTAGCATGGAACTTGCTAGTCTATAATGACTGCTATATAACCCAGGATGGCCTTGAACTTCTGATCCTCTCGTCTCCACTTCCCAAGAACTGGGACTACAGGTGTGTACCACTGAGCCCACCTAAGACATTTTGCTCCTTTTCTTTTTCTTTCACATATGGCTGGAGATTGAACTTAGGGCCTCATCCATGCTAGGCAAGTACTCTGACACTGTGTTACCCATCTGGTATTTGAATTATTATTATTTTTATATCTTTATCAATGCTCAGATTTCTACCAAAGTTCAAATTGAAGAGCTTTAGCTCAACTCTAAGCCTTGCTGATTCTTTTTCTGAACTGTTCTTTCTTGGATCTAGACAGTAGAAAGGGCACTGGCTTGAGTATACAGTTATTAGCCTTTTGAGATCTCCCTGTGCTAATCTGTAGGAAGTGTAACATCCATATACAGGAACAAGTGGAGACTGAATGAGAAAACTACAGTACAGCTCAAAACCAAGCCTGTGACATTCTCAGCCTCCTGCCTGAGAAGCCACCTTGTCCCATCCATTCACAGCCCATCTCCTTTCACTCCCCATCACCTCTAGGGGGATAGTTATCTGGGGGTGGGGAATCTCCTCTGCATGTCTCCCTAGGCCCCACTTGAAGCCTAGTAATTAAATCCCTGTGGAAAGGATCCAGGGAGGATATCATATGTCAGATTCAGCTTAGAACAAAGATCATTAGACTAATCAACTGTTTTGAGTCCATAGAGTTTTTATAGACAACTATGTAATAGGACTGTGTCTGATTCTTGCCTTTAGTGAGTTTGTTCTGGTGAGGCCCCCTAAACAATAGAGCCCAAAGGAATACTAGTTAGGCAACCCAGTGCTGTTTCTTCTTACCTGTCAAATCATCTGCTTGGGGATCCAATTTTTAAGTCTGTTTTCTTTCTATTTATAGGACCTCTAAACTCTCTTGTCACTTCTGTTTGTTCACAGTATGTAATCAGAGCATGTGTTTTAACATGTACTCAGGGAGCAGAAACCTTCTAGAAAACTATGTGATGCTAGAGGGTAGGTGTGCGAGCGATGAAGATGACTCTTCACCAGGGCTCACCCCACAGTAGAGCAGGCATCTGTATAGGAGGAGAGGTGGGCATCATGAAGAGGGGTCCTAAGGAGAGCTGGCTTTGAGGATGTCTGTGTGTTCAGGAGGGTTCTGTGAGAGAGCTGACAGAAGGTATTTAGCTAGAAAGGACCAGCTACCAAGAGATCTTACCATACTTATGACAGGCATAGAAAGTTTCCAAGTACAAGATAAGGAAGTTAGGCCTTTCTTTACATTCCTCAATTCTTCCAATGAGCTAGGACTTGGCATCAAGCAGAAGGGGATATCCACAGAGATAAAGTCAGAACTGAGTTCTGCAGAACCAGGCTGCATAATCTCAGAGGTTTCCAGGGCCAACAGGAAGATACCTATTATAAAGAGGCCAGACTATTAATGGCATTAAGAAGGTATTGAGAAAAGAACACAGGAGCCAAAGAATGGGTGTGAGAATCTTTCAATAGGAAGGCTGCCAGGCAGAGAAGAGAATAAACCTAGTGTTGTTGCAAAACAGAAGGCACGTGACAGATCATGGCTGCACCAAACTGTCTGATCTCACTCTCCACTCCCTTCACGCTTGTCACCAATGGCACCACCAGCCCCAGGGAGGCCCTCCCAATGCCTGCCAGTCTCCTTACTCTCCAGACTGTCTCAAATCCTCTTGACATTTCCTAATCCATGGCCATCTCAAACCTATGCAGGAAACAATATCCCTTTATTGAAAGGAGGGTACAAGATGAGAACCTTCTAACTCCCAAAACTACTTAACAGCAACCTTGCAATACACACTTGGCTCCTTCCCGGCCCTCCTTCACAGGTAAGGTCCTTGACCTCCTTACTCTCTACCTCCACACAAAGTGGCAACAGAGGGCTACGAGATCTTGTCTTTGTCTTCCTTTCAGGACAGTGATATGAAGGATGTATATGCTCCTTTTGCGGGCAGTCCTAGGTCCTCAGCCTTCTCTTTGTTGTCCTTCCTCTGGCAGTTATCAAAGGACAGATACACTCTTTCAGCCCAGGACCACCCCCTTCTTAGCCTCTCCTACTTGGCACGTAGTCCTCAGACCTGCAGAAACTTTTCTTTGATCCCAGGCTGAGTGGGAGCCTGCTTAAATTTCTTTGTTTTGTTTTTCGAGACAAGGTTTCTCTTGCATAGTCCTGACTGTTCTAGAACTCACTCTGTAGACCAGGCTGTCCTCAAACTCAAAGACCTGCCTGGCTCTGCCTCCCAAGAGCTGGGATTAAAGACACGTACCACTGCCACTCTGCCCTTGCTTAAATCCTATAGTACTCTGAACTGTACCCCACAGCCATTGGCAAGACCATCAGTTAGACATGGGTCTGTCTTTTGGTTTCCATAATGGGAGAGGCCCACATCTGCTAGGCTACTCAGTCTCATCTGCCCAATCTGCTAGTGTGCACAAGAGAGGGCTACAGAGAGAAACCACACCTGGAGTGGACACACAACCCTGCCTCCTAGGCTCCTCAGACTCAGTCCTGGGTTGCAGTGGCGATGCTCCCAGACCCCTGTATCTCCTCAGCTAGAAGATCCCCTGTTCCCATCAGGCTCATGAAGCACTTTTGGCAGGCATAAGCTACCAGGCACCTCAGCTGGTGTGACTGTGGTCTCACATCTGGCTACCAAGAAACCTAGGAGAATTTAAGGGCCAGTACTGAGAACCACATGGATATGCCTGAAACCTACCTTTTCCTTGGCTGGGATCCAATCTGCTTGACAGCCTTTTCCTCGGTGTAGAAGAGCAGGCTCCTCTGCAAGGTGGACACGAGCAGCACTCTCTGGCTGTAATCCAGCTGCACAATGGATGACGGCTCCTCCAGCACAAGGTGTGAGTTGCAGATACCCTGCGAGAGAGCCAGGCCACGGTGGGTAAAACTGCCCAGCCTCCCTCACAGTGCTTACACAGATACTGCTTGTTAACTGTATTGAACTCAAAAGTATTCTGGGGTGCCGAGCATGGTGTGCATACCTATAATCGCCACACCTGGGAGACGGAGGCAAGAAGATCAAGAGTTCAAAGTCATTCTTGACCATATGGTGAGTCTGAAGTAAGCCTGGGCTACATGAGACCCTATCTCAACAAAACAAAAAAACAACAAAAAGTATATTAACTTTCTCCAGATTCATTGTTAACCTACTGCTATGACATTTGGAAAATTCCTTACTAACAAGAAAACAGTAATATTAACAACTATTTTGTAGTATACTAGGGTTGAAAAGAAATATTAAAAACCTACATATTTCTCTAATAGTTTTTTCATAAATAATTCAAAGAAGAATCTATCGAAGTAGGCCATACGACATACACTAAGTATCTTCTAACATAGGAGAGCATGACTGTATGAAAGCTGTGACCGTGACCCCCTCTCACAGGCTCTCCACAAGGAGCCTGAAGCAAGTCTACAGGCACTGTATCCTTCAGCTGGAAGGGTCACAGAAAAGATGTTAGAAAGAAATGGAAGGGCTAATGGGACGGCTCAGCAGACAGACTGGGTTTGTCACACAAGCCTGATAACCGGAGTTTAACCCTAGGAACCCATTATTGAAGTAGAAAACTGACTCTTGAAGGTCGTCCTCTGACCTTGACATATGAACTTGAATTCTCCACACCCCTCCTTACACACATACAATGTATTAAATACAAGATTAGAGCATTTACTAGACACACAGTGACTTTCTAAAGGCATTTTACTGCTAATACAAAACACGTATCAGAAATCAGACTTTAATTCAGGTACAGTGGTACATGCTTCTAATCCCAGCATACAGGAGGCTGAGACAGGCTTTGCGGTGAGTTCAAAGCCAGCCTGGGCTATATATGAAGACCCAGTATCAAAAAGCCTGTTTCTGCCACTCTTCCCCTCAGTGTCCTTCTCTGGGCTCCATCGGCAAACAACTCACAAAGAAGAGAGGGGAGGACGAGTCACAAGTGCAGCAGCAGCAGTTTGACCAACTGTTTAAGAGCAGCGCTGCAAGAGCTGGGCATGGTGGCGCACACCTTCAACCTGCTACTCAGGGGCAGAGACAGGCAGATCTCTACACTCAAGATATGGTCAACATATCAAGTTGCAGGACACCCAGGGCTGTAGAGAGAGACCGTCTCAAAACAAAAAGCAAACAAACAAAAAGAATAATGCAACATCAGCGTCTCTTTGTGTGTCTGAGGGGGCACGCAAATAATGAGACCCACTGACACAAATTATACATAGTAAAATCTACTGTTTTTAAGTTTCTGACTTCAATTTTGTTATATCCATAGTTATCTAACTATACCACAAGGAAGATGGTGAAATTTCCATTCTCCCCTGGTGCGGGAGAATTATCTGTATTCTGCCAATCATGTATTTTAATAAAACATTGATTGGCCAGGCAGGCAGTATAGGCGGGAAAGCCAGACAGAAAGTAGAGGTGGAGCGATGAGAACAGGAGAATTCTAAGAAGCAGGAAGCTCCCTCTGCCATTCCTGCCCAGACCACCGAAGAAGCAACATGTGAGCTGACAGCTGGAAAAGGTACTGAGCCATGTGGCTAACGTAGATAAGGATAATGGGATAACATGTGTTATAAGAGCTGATAAGTAGCCAGAGCTAAGAGCCAATCAGTTTATAATCTTAAGGAGTCCTGTGTGTGATTTTCTTTGGGGCTTGCCAGCTGTGGGGTACTAGGCAGGACAGATACCCCAACAAGCCAGCCCTTCATGTTACACTCTCCTAATACTGAGAACTTTGAATGTAGTTCCTCTTCCTACAAGTTAGTCAGAATGTAACTTTTCTAGTCTAACTTAGCCTATGGTAGAATTACACTATACTGTATTTCAGAAAGATGAGTATTCTCTCAAGACTTTTGCAAAAAAAAAAAAAAGAGGCTTGAGAGAATATTCATTAAGCATAAGTTTTCAGGGCTGGAGAGATGCTCAGCAGTTAGGAGCATGGGATGCTCTTCCAGAGGACCAGGTTCTGGTTCCCAGCACCCACAAGGAGACTCACAACATCTGACTTCAGTTCCAGTTCACTCCAAAGAACATGATGCCTCTTTTGGCCTCTAATGCGGCACTGCACACAAGTGATATGCAGACATACATGCACACACCATGTACATAAAATAAAAATAAATAAAAACTTTTCAGGGTGTTTCTAGATAGTTTTCCCCAAATTTTATTTCCCTTCCATTTCCTGAATAGTGAGGCTTGAGTGGCCTTCTCTTGGACAGGGGGAGATGACAGAGAGCAACAACTCCACAGAAGCACCACAAAAGAGCACAATCTAAACACTTGATAACCTTGACAAGAGATGTTCCCACAGAGCAGCTGTTCTATGTGGGGTCTGCATAACCCTAGGTCCCTAAGACTAAGACTCTCTCATAGCATATGCCAGGCCAAAAACATTTCACAGAATGTTGTTATATGTCTTTTATCTTAAAATTTTTTTAAAAAAATTTATTTATATATATGAGTATTTTGTCTGATGTATGTCTGTAAATCATATATGTACCTGATAGCTACAGAGGCCTGAAGAGGGTGTTAGATCCCCTGGAACTAGAGTTACAGAAGGTTATGAGCTACCATGTGACTGCTGGGAATGAAACCTAGGTCTTTTGGTAAAGCAGTCTGTGCTCCTAACCTCTGAGTCACTGATTAACCAGTCTGCCTTCATCTTAGGCTTAAAAGTCATCTAATAGTAAAGATAAACTAGGTTCATTCATGTTTATGATTAAATCTGTTTCTCAAGGATTGGGCTATGCCTCACCTGCAACTTTAACTACAAAGGGTTCCATACTGCCTGTTCCAGGAATGGTAACCACATCTTTGAACCTTGTTATGTGGCTCCTGTAACTCTGCCTATTTGCGTTCCAAATCGCCCATTTGGAAACCCCCTACCTTGGGGCTATAAAAACCCTTATCTTGCCCATGTTCAACACTGATCTCTTGAACCACCTTTAGAGGGAGACAGCCTATGTACACAAATTAAAAACACATGCTTTAATTAAGTGGTCTTTCTCCTCACATCTCCATGCCCCTTCCATCACTACTGTCACTTTGCTAAACGGATATGCATGCCCAACAAAACGCCCTCTAAGTGCTTTCATTGAAAGCACAGGAATCACTGTGTATGGAGCCACTTGGAACCTCATTATGAACCAGGACCAATGCACCAAACTACAAAGGTCATCATTTATCACCACACACTCACACTAAAAATATGAGTTTCAATGAAGAACATCTTGATAAAGAAAAATGGTAATTTCACCCCTAAGGAATGGTGCTTTTGCACTGGATATCAACAAATTGGCTGTGAACACATGGACCTTCTGCAAAATGATACACAATGGGTCTCAAGGAAAAAAAAAACAAATCTGTAGCTGGTGGTGGCACACCATCCCTTTAGTTCAAGCACTTAGGAGACAAAGGCAGAGGAACTCTGAGTTCGAGGCCAGCCTGATCTAAGAGAGAGTTCCATAACAGCCAGGACTACACAGAGAAATCTTGTTTCAAAAAACCAAAATAAATAAATAGAAAGAAAGAAAGAGAGGGGGGGAGGGGAAGAGAGGAGAGGAGAGGAGAGGAGAGAGGGAGGGAGGGGGGAGGGAAGGAAGGAAGAAAGAAAGGGGACAAATCTCTGCCATAGGAGGACTGTAATTCAAATGAGATACTGTTTTCACACCATTTTTACCTGAAACACTGTAATTACAGGGAATGACGAGGTATTGGCAGACATTATCTACATAAATAATGAGAGCCTGTTGGTTCAGTATTTGTTACCTTCAACTGAAGATGAGAATCTAGAAAACTTGTATTTATATAAATTAGACAAGATTCTAAAAGCTGAAGAATTTTTTGACTGGCATGACGGAGATATTAATAATGGCACTTTCTTTTTAAAAACTATTTATTTACTTATTTTATGTAATATAGGTGTTTTGTCTGCACGAACGCCTATGCACTAAGTGTATGCTTGGTGCCCCAACAGCCAGAAGGTGTCAGATTACATAGAACTAGAGTTGAACAGTTGTGAGCCCCCATGTGGGTGCTGGAAACTGAACCCAGGTCCTCCGGAAGAGCACCCAGTGCTGCTCTCAACTGCTGAGTCAACTCGCCAGCCCCCGTCTTCTGATATTATATAACACATGTATCAACATCTGGAAGATCAGCATCCTCTGAGATTCCTATTCTACTAAGTGACTGGTACGTGATACTGAAAATTATGCAAGGGTAAATAAAAGATCTACTCAAAGTAGAAGATAAACTAACAAGTTTTAATGTAACAAGGTAGGAAAAACCCACCAAGGGTTTCAGATTCCACATTGCAATCAGTTTTTAAAGAAACCCCTATGTGATAGAGCTGCTCCTTGAGGCCACAGCGTAGGCTCCTCTCTGTGAAGCAGTCTTTAGAAGCCTTAGAAACAATATATGCTACTGCCATTACTTTTTATTTTATGTGCATGAGTGCTTTGCCTGGATGCACGTCTATGCACCACTTGGTTGCCTAGTTCCCAGTGGTCATAGAGGGTGCTGGATCCCCTGAGACTGAGTTAGAGAGAACTGTGAACTGCCACTGTGAGTGCTGGGAATAGAACCCAGCTGGGTAGAGCACCCAGCACTCTTAGTCTCTAAGATATCTGTGGTGGTTTGAATAAGAATGGCCCACATAGGCTCATCATATAGGTGTGGCATTGCTGGAGGAAATGTGTCACTGCAGTGGGCTTTAAGGTTTCAAAAACCCATGCCAAGCTCAGTCTTCCTCCCTCCCTCTTCCTCCTGCCTACAGATCAGGATAGAAAGCTGTCACCTACTGCTCCAGCGCCATGCCTGTCTGCTTCCCACCATTATGATAATGGACTAACCTCTGAAACTATAAGCAAGCCCCCAAGTAAATGCTTTCTTTTATAAGAGTTGCCTGATCATGGTGTCTCTTCAGAGCAATAGAACACTGATTAAGACAGCATCTCTCCAACCTACCAGTGCTTTTGGCTGCCCACTAAAACTAGATGATAGTCCCTATTGCTGAAGACACTACATGCTTAGGTTGCCAGGCATAAAGAAATCAAGCAAGAACTGAGCTGAAAGCTTACTCCTTGTCACCTAGTTTTCAGAGTGCCAAAAGGTGGTGCAATCCAGGTTTCAAGAGAAAAAAGTCATCAGTCCTACCGAGTTTTGGACCTTGTGTACTATACTATCTACCTGTCAGGCACGGTAGGCACTAGTGCAACAGTGGTGTGATTATTATAGGGGTAACCAACCAGTTTCTGCTCAGTTCTAAGATCACACCACGGGAAGGAATTCATGCCTGCTATTCTAAATCTGGTCAAAAGCCCATAGCTGGAAAGGTCATAGGCACTAGCAGGGAAGCTATTATTGTACTTTTGCTAAATGGACATGTCATACCCATAAAACTACCTTTTTTTCTGTTTTTTTGAGATAGGGTTTCTCTGTAGCTTTGGGGCCTGTCCTGGAACTAGCTCTTGTAGATCAGGCTGGCCTCGAACTCAAAGAGATCCACCTTCCTCTGCCACCCAAGTGCTGGGATTAAAGGTATACATCACCACCGCTGGATCAAACTACCTTCTAAATATTTGGGTTTATGTCCTTAGAGTGCTTCTCTCAGTGTTAGTCAAAGAAGCCTTTTCCCCCCCAGTGGGTAGAAGTTAACTGCAAAAATTCAAAACTGGTCAAAGTGCTGAGAATACATGACTATTGAACGCCAAGCCCTAAATAGGACATTTATATTATCCCCTTCAAGGCTCAAGGAACATCTCAGAAGATGGGGACAGAAAGGATATAAGGCACCTCAAGATAGGGAAGAGTATTGTGAAATGTTATTTTCTGGGCATAATACGGTCATGAACTCATAGTAGCTACAACTATCTACACAAGATCAGTGTAAGATTGGGGTCACCAACCTAACAAAATGGACAGGGGAGGGAATCACAAGACCCTACCTCCCCATAAGGAACTACTGGCAGTCAATGATTGCTTGGGGAGAGAGAGATTTTCTTCAGTGGTGTAGCCACTAGTACATTGCCCATGCTATTGTAAAGAACCTCTTATATTCATGTTTATGTAAGCTGCCCTAATTAAACTCATTAGGTCACATACAAGAAAAAAAGAGAGAGAGAGAGTGAGGGGGGGGTGAGAGGGAGGGAAGGGAGGGGAAGAAAAAAAGGGAAAGAAGGAAAGGGAAGGAAAATTCCATGTAATTTTTTGTTTGTTTTGGTTTGGTTTTTTTCAAGACAAGATTTCTCTGTATAGCCCTGGCTGTCTTGGAACTAGCTCTGTATACCAGGCTGGCCTCAAACTCACAGAGATCCGCTTGCCTCTGCCTCCTGAGTACTAGGATTAAAGACATGTGCCACCACCGCCCAGCCTGAGCTTTAATTTTCAACATGGTATATTTTATAGATATAAACTACTACCAGGGAATATTTGTAATAGTTCAGTCTTAGATTAGAGGGCTAATAAACAGTCAGTTCTGCTAGACATAATGGCTATCTCAAAACATAACAAAAAACAAATAAACAAACTACACTAGGTTCTTAGAATCTAACATAGGGAATGAAGAGGAAAAACGGGTAGTTCATCAAATGTTTAGTCCATCTGGCAGGCACATGGCCAAACAAAATACGGGCATCATAAAGCCTGATCTGCAGTAGGAAAGTCACGGGCTTCAGAGCAGAACCTATTTGAAATGAGTCTGCCAGGTCTCTGCTTGTGCCCCTGGATTGAATCCTGGAAATAAGAACATACTGAGAGGCTGCCAAGATGGCCCAGTGGGTAAAGGTGCTTTGCTATCTAGTCTGATGACCTGAGTTTGATCCCTAGGACCCATGTGGTGGAAGGAGAGATGATTCTTGCAAGTTGTCCTCTGATCTCCACACAAACACTGTGGAAAGTGTGTAAGTGTTTTACTATTCAACTCTAGTTGGCTTGGCATTTCCTATGCAGCCCAGACTGGTCTTAACCTCAAGAAGACCCTCCTACTTCAGCTCTCAAGTGCTGAAATTACAGAGCATCACGTCTGACTCAAGTTCGTACAATTTTTACTGCTGGTTTTGCAGGCCACCTCATTAGTCACTGCAGAAGTTTACAAAACACTGAAGATGTCCGTGAGAGAAAACCCTGTAAGTAACACTTGGCAGTTAAGGGCACAGTGGTGGAGAGCACGAGCCACTGGGAAGGAAGCAAGACTGCAATATGATACAGATCTCTGAAAATCACCTCACCTGGTCTAGGTCGAGAGAGGAGTAGACGATCTTCCCCTTGTCATCTCCGGAGAACAGCTTCATCCCATTGGGGCTCCAAGCCAGAGCTGTAATGCTGGTTTTGTGAACACCAGTGACATCAAATCTCCGAAGCTATGGGTGACAACAGAGCACAAGGAAAGGAGAGGTGAGTGGCTGCAGTTATGGGAATGTCATTCCTACTCTGGGAGGAGCTGGTTTTCCACACAGAACTGTGCACGAGGTTCCCTATGTCTATCCATATTCTAAACTGAGATGTGCCAACAAGATGGCTCATTGGATAACAGTAATTGTGGCCAAACCTGGGGATGTGAGTTTGATCTCTGGAACTCATATGATAGAAAAAGAGAACTGACTCCTCCAAGATGTTCTATGACCTCTATACATGAACGGTAGTACGTGTGTGTGCGTGTGTGTGTGTGTGTGTGTGTGTGTGTGCGCGTGTGTGTGTGCGTGTGTGTGTGCGTGTGCGTGCGTGTGTGTGTGTGCAGTTTTTAAAAACAAATACAATTTTTAAAAACCTCACAAAGAGCACAGAGGGAATTAAGTAAAAAGAAGAGCACTGATTTGTGCTTTATGATCCCAAGCAGGGACAAAGACATCACCTAGTTAGAAGTTGCACAATGTCATGCTGAATCATGTGATTTCTAGGCAGGTAAGTACCACCACACCTTTCTGACTATGTAGACCAGGTGGTCTCTCAGAGGGACCCACCTGTCTCTGCCTTGGGAGTGCGAGGATCAAAAGTGTGCCCACCACACCCAGCTCTGAGGATTTCTCATCTTAAAGACACCTGAGGACCCTGCCAAGAAGGGAAGCAGTGCCAGAACCTGAGCACTCACCTGCTTGTTCCTCCCCGGCAAGGAAGACACAAGCTGGAAAACAGCAACCCTCCCAGAGGCGGTGCCTGCTGCCACAAGGTCATCAAAGCAGCTCAGCAACTTCACCACAGTGATAGACTCTGTCTTTCCCTGAAGGAGGACATGCCAAAAACAAATCACCAGAGGCACTTATATGAAAAAAAGAAAACTAGATGTAAAGCCGGAAACATGAAACTACATCCCGGGGCTACAGCATATAAATTTCTGGCCGGAAATGTGTACAAGTCAGAAAACAAATGAGTCTAGGATCTCTGCCTTACTGTTATTATTGTTATTATTAATAGAACCCCAAATTACGATTTTGTATACATTTTGGTACAGTATATCCATAATGCACAGCCATCATCCATTTCCAGAATTATTTTCACGTTGTGAAGTGGGAACTTTTTTAAAGACTTACTTATTTATTGTATATACAGTATTCTGCTTACATGCATGACTGCAGGTCAGAAGAGAGCACCAGATCTCACTACAGATGATTGTAAGCCACCATGTGGTTGCTGGGAATTGAACTCACAACCTTTAGATGAGCAGGCAGTACTCTTAACCTCTGAGCCATCTCTCCAGCTCTGAAATGGGAACTTTATACCTACCAAATAACAAGCCCCACTAGGTGGTGGTGAAGTATGCTTTTAATTTCAGCACGAGGGAGGTAAGAGACCTGCAGATCTCTGAATTCAAGAACAGGTTGGTTTACAGAGAGTTCTAGGGCAGTCAGGGCTAGGCAGGCAGAAAAACCCTATCTGAAAAACCAAAGCAAGCAAGCAAACAACAACAAAAACCCCACAAAACTATTGCAAGAACTCTAATTGGTTTTAATAATAAAAACCCAGAGCCAGACTATTAGAGTAAATGGATAAGAGACAAAGGAGCAAGAAACATCCAACTCTTATTTTGCTAACTCCTTAGTTGAAAAAGGGCTGAATTCCTGTCTCCTCCCACCTTATATTTCTCTTTCCGCCCAGCCATATCATTTCCTGTCTGTCTGTACAGACCTCCAGACCTCTATGGTTAACTAATGGCTAGCTCCGCCTGCTGATCTTCAGGCAAGCATTTGTCCCCATTTTTGCCTAAAATAAAAAAGGTTATAACTAATAAAAACTATATACAATAAGTAAAATAACTATATACAATATGTACAGGCAATAAGTACATTAACAACGTCTAGTCCATTAGCAAATGATAAATTCATAGAAAATACTCCATATCTATCTTATCTTGATGAGTTCAAAAGGTTATACCTAACTCACTTCCTGTTCTAACTTGCAATACCAGAACTATCTTTTAAATGTTTTTCAACCTTTACACAGTTTACACCTCTTTAGTGAATTTTAGTTCTGAATCCAGTAACAAAGAAAACTATAACTTTAAAGTCTTCAAATCCATCAAAGACCTGAGAAGGAAATAATATTACCAGAGTAAGCAGGTAATATTTTCTCTCCAAAAAATGTGAGAAATGACAAAAACAGCTGGCTGCCTGGACAGTCACCCAAGGTTCCTCCACAACATTGGCACATCCATCCTCAGCCTACAGGTCTAGCATATCTGACAGACTTTTTTGTTAAGCAGAATATAATTAAGGGCTGTCCTACTTGTCTTGGCAAAGTTTGGCAAACACTTTCTTTTGTGTCCTGCTTGTCCAATTTGGACAGCATACTGTCAGCAGTCAAGGCAAGAGCACTTTTTTGCCCAATGGCTTACTTTCAAGGACTAGAAATTTATATTACATTGCTAAGTGAGTTATATAGTTGCAATACCTTGAACAAGATTAACAATGTATGTACAGTATGGCCTAACAAAAATAATCTTAAATTTGTATCAATTTACAAAAATCCATATCAATGTAAAATATTTAAAACTAATAGTTGCTTTTTTGGTTTAAAAGTAGATTCAATAATCTACCTTTTTATCCTATTTCTATATCCCCTTCTTTTTCTTTTCAGAGTAGACTCAATCACCTACCTAGCCATCCAATCATATCTATATCCCCTGTTTTTCTTTTCAAAACAAGAACCCTGAATCCAAACTCCTTTGCTTAGCATTTTTCCTGACCATTAGCAATAACAACTTTTAACCAATCCCCCTAAACAATAACAAATATCCAAAACCAAATGAAAGACCAAAAACCACCCACCCATTCCCAACTCCTGAGGATGTGGGCATCAAATTTACTTCTGCTGACTGGGGGCAATGGCATCTTTAGGGGGTCCTGGGAGAGGAAGCTCTATCATTTGTTATCCAGTCTCTGTGTAATGGGAAAGTGTGGGGCTTGTCTCAAGTCCTGGGTAGAGTAGTCTGTTAGGTTAGATCGTCTCAGCTAGCCATAGAAATTGTCCTAAACAGTTTGTAGTCCAAAGCCAATCCTTAGGTGGTGTTTTCAGCTTAGTGGTGTTTCCCTAGAACTCATGGAATTGTTGTTGTGGGTCCCATGCTCCTTTTGGAAACTTCAAAAGTCGCTGTTAGGCATGGTATTGGCTAACTGCAGAAAACTTAAGTGTTTTAAATGAGATATGCAGCAGATCTCAAAGAGGTTAAATGATCATTGTTCGTTATGTACAAACATCCAGAGTACAAAAACTTAATTCCTAGCTACCCAATAGACACTGAAACCCAAAATTATGTACAGGAAACTATATGAGGCCTTTTTCTAGAATTAATCAGTACTCTATACATTCATTAATATCATAACAAAAATTTTAATATATGTATATATCAATCTTGGAAATTTCGAGATAATATTTATATCTTAAGAAAAGCCTTAAAGAGTCAAAATAAAACCAAAGGATTAAGAGATTAGTGGCAATAGAATAGTCCCAAAATTTTGGTTTTTCTCCTGTTCCATATCAGGTTCTTCTGTCATGAGACAGAGATTTGGGATTCTATTCTACTTCAACAAGAATGCTTGGATTTAGAGAAGGAGAGAGCCATACTCCAACTCCAAAGCCAGCTTTAATTTTCAACAGTTATTTATTGAGACTACAAAAAGACCATTTGTTGTTGAGAATGTTAATACATCAACAGGCCAATTTACTCTTTTTCTTGGGAAATTATTTTCTGGATGATTTGGTCTTTTTTTTCAGATGGCTCATTTGTCCAGTGGTCTTGGGATTCATTAACTCGATACCTTTATTCTCCTGAAAAGACAAAAACAAAACCCAGCTCCAACCCTAACTTTAGAGAGGTTCTCTTTTGGCAAGTTATATCTGATCAAATGAGAAGCACTTGTTAGTCATATAAGTTACTTTAGATTGAATGGCAAACTAGTTAATGAACTATCACCTCTTCTAATCAAGAAGTCTCTCTTGTTTAAATTGAACTTTTATCAATTTTGATGGTATCCATAGACTTTCTACTCCTGTGGATAAAAAAGCAAAACCCCTTCCCCAATGTAACAAATATCCTGGTTTCCATTCTGAAGTGAACACAACTTTAAAGTATACGGGCTGACTTTTCTATTATCGAAAATCTTTCCACAGGTGTCATTCCCTTCTGATTAGGATTTAGAATATTCAAAGTGAATAAAGCATTATGCAATCTATTTCTGGGGCCTTTATTACCCCTTTCTGTTTATTTAGCATATTCTTTAGAATTCAGTTTGATCTTTCTATGACTGCTTGTCCCGTAGGATTGTGCAGTATACCTGTACTATACTTTATGTTGTAATAAGTAAAAAACTGTTTCATTTTCTTAGAGACATATGCTGAAGTACTGTCACTCTTAATTTGTGCAGGTATACCCATGATAGCCACAACTTCTAGCAAATGTGTGATTGCAAAATCAGTCTTTTTCAAACTCAAAGCAGTCGTCCGTTGAAATCCAGAATAGAAATCAATGATGTGGTAAATATATTTTAATTTTCTAAATTCTACAAAATGAAACACATCCATCTGCCAGATTTCATTCCATTGAGTACCCTTTGGGTTATTTTCTGCAGTAGTGAAGTTTGGTGCAAGAAAGAATAAGTAGGACAATTTCTTATAATTTCCATGGCTTGCTGCCAAGTGATGGGAAAAATTTTTTCAAACCTTTGCTATTGACATGACGTTTTTTATGAAATTCTGAGGCCTCCAGCACATTTCCTATCAATAGTTGATCGATTTCTTTATTACCTTGTAAGTAATGTTTTTGAACCATTTACTCAGTTGACCATTTTAACCCCAACAGTGGACCATAGGTAGGAAATGACTCCTAGAAATCTTTGACCATCATTAAGAGTCTGCAATTGATCTCTCCAAATTTGCACCTTTTGGGGTCTAATTTTTTGCAGACCTGTAACTGGAGGTTTCTCTCCCACCCACCAGTTCCTAAATAACCACTCAGAGACTTAATAGTAATTATAAACTGTTTGATAGATGGCTCAGGCTTTTTATTGGCTAGCTCTACATATAAATTGCCCATTTCTAAAATGTGTATCACCACGTGCCCTGTGGCTTACCATCAATGCTCTGGCATCTAACTCCTTCAGCAGCTGCTGGTGTCTCCCAAACTCTGTCTTCTTTTTCCCTATATATTTGTTTGGATTTCCTGCCTAGCTATATTCTGTGCTGCAATAGGCCAAAGCAGCTATTTTATGAACTAATGATAATAAAAACATATTCATATCACATAAAGAGATATCCCATAACATAGACCTATTTTATATCCTAAATAACTAATGGAATCTCCTCTTTGTATTTTTTCAGGAGCAATTTGTAATCCCCAAAAGGCAAAATTTTCTTCATTTCTTCAAACATTCTTTCTAAAATATCTACATTTGAATCAGCTAGTAAAATATTGTCCATGTAATGATAAACTATATATTGAGGAAATTGCTTACATATCATTTCTAATAGATCACTTACAAAATACTGGCACAGGGTAGGGTCTAATTAACATTCCCTAAGAGAGAATCTTCTGTTGATATCTTTTAGCAGGCTGAGAATTACTATAAGCAGGCACTTTGAAGGCAATTTTTTCTCTTTTTTCTTGTAAATATATAGAAGCATCAATTTTTAAATCAGTAACTCTAAGAGGCCATCCTTTAGATACTAGAGAAGGTAAAGGAGTACCAGACTGTAGAGAGCCCATCTGCTAAATCACCTTATTAACAG